ATTAAAATATCGATTTGAAATTTTCAGAATCATTATTATTTTTAAATTAAAAAATAATATCGGAACGAGAAAAAAAATTAAAATAAAAAAAAATCCAATTTTTGACGATTTTGGTAATTTTTAAAAATCTTGAGCGACCCCTAAAAAGTTTTTAATGGTGCTGATCTTTTGACAGAGCTCTTAAAACATGACAAACCAACATATTTTCTCAAGAGACGAGAAGAAAAAAAATATTCTTTTTTTTTGGGCCACCCTAATATATAGGTACCATGATCTATACCTGAATATCGAGTTATTAATTTTTTTTCGTTAAAATTTGACAAATTTGCGTCAATCATAAAATCCCTTTAACTTTTTTGTTATTAGGTTTGCAGATAGGAGGTGGATTTTTTGGAATATTAACACATTGTTTAAAAGATTCCTTGTCAATTCTTAAACATTTTTCAAAAAAATACCTGAAAAAACCCAGGGAAAATTACTATTCCCTATACCTAAAGTTATTAATTTCAGAAATATTTTACAATTTATAAAATTTTAAATATGTTGTATCAAGAAACCACGTAATCTGTGATTGTTCAAAATTTATTGGTGTCAATTTTTCAGGTTGTTATAAACAATTAAGTATACTTATATACGTATTTTAATTTGTTAACATTTTTACTGATAAAAAATAGCAGTCAGTGACTGAAAAAATTGACAAGCCAAACATATTAAAAATTTAAAACTTATACTAACAATATTTGCTAATTTTAAAAAAACTCAACAAAGGTGTAGGATGTCAACTCATTGGAGACAATAAAATATATAATTTATTTTATAAAATATTTTAATAACAAAAAGAATGCGTAACTGTAACAATTTTATAAACCAACAATATTTTAATTAACAATTATATTATCACTAATTTATTATTAAATGTTTGAAGGGTCCTCCATTAACATTCAAGCATTTTTTAATTCTTACTTTTACATTAGACGTTGCTCTTCTTGACTATTTTAGAAAAATAGATTTTATAAACTCTTCCTAGAAACTTCCAATGGACCACGAATGTGAAACACCCTGTATATATACGGTGAGTCCCCGGATTGACTATGAGATATAAAAAATATTAGTACGGATTTAATTGTTTAAAGTCTCGGCCTGCTTGACCTAAAATTAATTTTTACAAAGTTGTTGGTAGTGCACTATATAGTAATATTACTATTACTATTATCCAAATAATTGAATCCGTGAGAATAAGAACAGTACAAGTCCAAAAATTTTAAATCAGTTCAAAATACATTTTTGTGAGAAGATATAAATCATTTCAGAATATGAACATTATGTTTTATAAAATAGTTAAAATATTCCCACAAAAATGCATTTAGGACTATAAAAATGATTTTTTGAAATATTTTCTCAACATTTTGACTTTTGGACTTGTACTGTTCTTAATTTCACCGATTCAATTGTTTTCGTTAAATCATTGGAAATACCATATTATTTCCATTGATTTAACGAAAAAAATTATTTGGATCATAGTACATTATAGACTAGGAGGTGGAAGCAAATTATTCTGCCGAGAATACATTTCACTTCTGAGGCGACAGCCGAGGCAGTAGATTGTGTTCGAGGCAATTAATAAGCTTTCAACCCCGGTTTTTATAGGCTTTTTTTAAGCATTTAATTAAATAATTTCTTAGGATTGGGACATTATTTTAAGGTTTTTGAACTGTAATTTAGTGAAAATTAATATTGGGTCAATATTTTTTTGGTATTTGCCTCAAAGTTAATCTGGGGATACACTGTATATGAAAAATAAATTTTAATAATTTAAATTGTCCTCAGACGAAGCCAAGGTGAATGGGCATATGAAGAACAACTAAGGTACTATGATTTATATTAGCTTAACAAAAAAAAACATTCACTAACTGGTCAAAACTGTAAATACAAAATCGGGACGAAATGTAAAATAAAATAAAAGTGATCACACACGGTGTGTGGCAAAAGGGCTCTTGTAAATATTTAAAATCTTAAACACTAGACCGATGTCGAACTGAATAATTCAAGCTATCTCCGTGTAGGCCCATAAACTATTCAGGACCTTTTAGGGTGTCAAGTTGGCAATATAGCCACCCCCAAATGCGTTAGCTTCCATTTTAACACAACACTGGACACCCACTGAAAACTACCCTTCCTAAAAAGTTAAGTGGGCTTATAGGGCAAGTCTACTTTTAGCTGCAAAAATGATTATTAAACTCTAATTGAAAAACTAATTATAATTATTGCAAGCACCATTAGAAAGTATCAACTTGTTTACCAACACTACCTTACTTTCTATAAACACGATCTTTCTTACACAATGGACTATTAAGTCGATTGAATGGAAAAAATCGTTTACTTAAAGTAAAACAGCTTGTAAATGCTGTCACAAACGACAACAAATAAATCTTTTAAGTGACAAATTAATCCTACTTTAGTAGGTAGTAGTAAGGTACTTAAGTTAAGTTGGCTAGATATCTACTGGTAACCGGAAATACGTATTGCGACGCAAGAATGCGGTGCCTAATTGTTTTTTCACGTTCTGACCAATCACTGTGACCATTGCGTTTGTTTACAACCGATAGGAGAAATTAATTGGCCAACTAGATGCAAATCACAGATATTTCAAAGATATTTGTGGGATTTTAGCTATTTTTGTAGGAAATTTGTACCTTTCTATTCTAAAGGTTGGGTTTTATATTTTTATTATAAAAATGCCCAAGCAAAAAACAAAAATGTTAAATTTCTTAAAAAAATATCGTCGCCTTAATGCAGAACTAGTGTATGTCCAAATCTTACAGTTTTCGGTTTATAGCGGGAATATATAGTTAATAGTTAATATCTTGTATACAACATATTCTAGAGAAATAAAAAAGTGGGGGAAGCCCATTGTTTGGACTTACTTCATGTAACGAAGTTCACTATTAACTATAATATATTATATTCCCGCTATAAACCGAAAACTGAAAGATATATGTTAAATATTAAAATTTGGATTTTTTAATTTTTTTTTTTAATTTTTTTTTTATAAAAATATACTTATCATCATTACGTTTAACAAAAATTATAATTGTATTTTTTTATATTATGTCAACCATTGCTACAAATATTAGGGGTCCCATGCAGATTGCAATCTATAGATTACTATAATACCTTGTGAAACACCAATAAGTTTTAAGTTTCTGCTGTAATTTTTTGTGTTTTATATTTTTATTATAAAAATGCATGAGAAAAAACAAACATTTTACAATATTTTACAATTTCTTATAAATTTTAACTATTTTTATATAAAATAATATGTTAAAATTTAATATTGAAATTTGGATTTTTAGTTTTTTTTATAAAAATAAACTTATCATCATTACTTTTAACAAAAATTATAATTGTAATTTTTTATATTGTCAACCATTTCTACAAATATTAGGGGTCCCATCAGGGTTACCAGATTCTGTCAAAAAAAATCGGGACATTTTGTGTGAATTAACCTTAATTACAAAAATGACACAATCAACAATAATTAAGTAACGTCAAACTTACTATTTGCCAGTGTTACCAGATTCTGTCAAAAAAATACCGTACGTTTCGTTCGAATTTACCTTAATTACAAAAATGACTCAATGGACAATATTAAATAACGTCAACTTGACATAATTGCATTTATTTGCATTGTTTCATTGTGTCATTTTGTAATTAAGGTAAATTCGAACGAAACGTACGGTCCTTTTTTGACAGAATCTGGTAACACTGCTATTTGCATTGTATCTTTATGTCAATTTTGTAATTAAGATAAATTTATAAAAAATGTCCTGATTTTTTTGACAGAATCTGGTAACCCTGGGTCTCATGCAGATTGCAATCTATAGATTACTATAGTACCTTGTGGAATTTCTTGGGTTTTATATTTTTATTATAAAAATCACATTTTACAATATATTACAATTTCTTATACATTTTAACTATTTTTATTTTAAAGAATATGTTAAGTTTAAAGATTTAAAATTTTAATTTTTTTTTTTAATGTTTGTATTTTTTATAAAAATAAACTTATCATCATTACTTACTTTTAACAAAAATAATAATTTTAATCGTATTATATTAGGGGTCCCAATATATATATATACCACTATGGTTTTTTTTTTCGGAAAAATTGGAAAATTTTCAGAAAAATTGACTTGCATTTTGTTCATTTTATTCAAAAGTCAATTTTTCTAAAAGTTTACAAATTTTTACGGATACTATCCGTACACTGATATCGAGAAAAAAGTGAATTTTCGACGCTGAATATAATTATAATATTATGCTTATAATAATTATTTCTTATATTCGGTGATGTATTTACATAACTTTCGTTTTATTTGACACTTCGATTTATAAAATTATAATTTTGTAATTTAACTTTATAAATCATTCATTATTTTGTAATTGGATATATTCAATGGACTCCTTTTTGCAAAAAGGACCCAACCAACAGTATATTTAACGTTTACGTTTATTTTCTTAAATCAATTTAATTTAATTCGATGGTTAGTTTTTTTTTCTGTAAGGATATTTTTTTTAAATTAAAATAATGTTGTTGATTGCCAATTTTTTTCAAATGTGTACATTTAAAAAAAATCAATCTTTCCCAAAAAAAAACAATTTTTCCAAGGCCTAGAAAAAAAACGATAAAAAACAGTTTTTTTTCTAATTTTTCCGTTTTTTTTTGACATTTTAAAAACATAAACACCACCAACTTTTTTGGGATTTATATTTTTATTAAAAAAATGCCTGAGAAAAAACAAAAATTTAACAATATTTTATAATTTCTTACAAATTTATATTTTTAATATATAAAAATAAGTTTATTTTTATGATTTCACCATAGACTACATATGCATATACATATGTAGTCTATGGTTAAATCATGAGGTTACGTTAAATAAAAAAAGATTGTTATTTTTTTTATATTTTATATTGATAAAATTATCTTGTTGTTCCAGGAGACAAACAGCTGAAGAACGGGAGGCAGAACGGCAAGCCGCCAACCGACTGATGTTGTCCCTGCAGGCCGAAGCCTTGAGTAAAGGCTACATGAACGAAGGCCCACCTCAAAATCCAGGTCCGGGTGACACTGCTTTAAGTGCCCTTCAAAATTTACAACCGTGGGCAGGACCGTACAGCGCCCCTCAACCCGCCTTAGCGGAATCAATGTGTTAATTTTTTTTTTTGAAAAATATGTTGAAAATGTTGTTAAGACTTTGTGTATATACGTGCAATATGCTGAAGAAAGTGATTAAGGATTTAATATTGAGTGATGTGGACACTTTATTGTGAAAAACCGTACTTAATTTAACAAAAACTCTTTCTGTGTGACTTAGATGGTCAACGTTTTATTCATAAGAAACTTTGATCAGTGTATGTTGTATTTTTTTTCATTTTTTACGTCATCGTTTGATCTCAATTTAATTTTTAATAGTTTACTAAAATGACTGATGAACTAAACAATATTAAAGATAGTCCACAAAAAACAAAGTTTTTATAAATTATTATTATTACTATTATTATAATTAGCTAAACTACTATATCAATTTTTAATGTTAACAGTACTATAATACATGTGTATTTTAATTTAATTACTTTATTTTGTTTTCTGACGTAAAAATGTGATAAAAACAGTAACAGTAAGTCACGACAGAATTTGTAGTGTGATCCATGTAAAATAAACATAATAATTGTAGATAATGACTTATTATTAATGAGTTATAACAATAAGCACTAGAATATGGCATTAAAAAATAAAATATATGACACTAAAGTATCGTTTTTTCTTTTTTCCACATGCAATGCGTATGTGCATACTTCAGTATGCATAATTATGTTTGTTTTTATTATATACATTAGTTTTTACCTAACATAACTATACATTTAGTAATGCTAGTTTTTTGTTGTAAAAACGTATTAAATAAGTAATTAATATTTATCAATTTATTAAACAATTTTAAATTTACTTACATGAATAATCCCAAAAAGTCTATTAAATCACACATAACACTGACAAATTTTCAACACTAAAAACCTCCAAACAATAAAAAAGCGAACATTTAATTTGTTTATAAACTTTAAGGTCATCGCCTTCTTGATTTCTTAGAAACGATGAGATTTTGTTTATATCTGCGCGAAGGGCCGAAATTGGCGATGACAGTAACGGGTAAAATTCACTGAATTAATTCAGTGCAAATTTAGAGGCGTTTATATTGGTTTAATTTATTAATTGTTATCGGTATTTCGTTTGTAAAGTAAGGATGTGTGTGATATTATTTCGGGAAAGGAATTTGATTTGCGTAAGATTGTTAAGATTGCAAGATATGCAGTCATTTGTGAATTTTTGTTGGTTATATGTAGAAAGAAAATAAGGTTAGAAGCTTGATAGTTTTTATAGCAAAAATGATATTATTAAATTAACAATGTAACTTAAACTAATTTTGTTTTTTTACGATGCTTTAATAATGTTTTAAAATAATTATCAACTTGGCAACAATTGGATTTAAACTGTTTTAAAAAACTTTTTAGTCGGTTTTAAATCGCAACCAAAACCGTACAGAATATTACAATGAATAAAAATTATTAAAAATATTTAAAAACAAATTTAAAACAAAAAAATTTGCAAAGTTTAAAGATCCTTAATCAGTCAGTCAGTTTTAACTAGGTATGTTTTTTTATAATATTCTTTATTAATATAAGTTTTCTTTACTTATAACATTAATTTTAAGATTTTGTAATAAGTGTAATATATTTATTTTGTTTTTTTTTGCAATTTTATTCAATTAAGGGTTTTTAAAACTTGCACATTTTTTTGTTTGACTGTAATGTCTTGAATTTGTTTATAAATATTTTTAATAATTTTGATTTATTTTAATATTCTACACCCAGCTCTTTAACATTAATATTATGCAAAATTTTGAAACTTTACAATTACCTATAGGTAGGGTTGGGATTTTGACCGGTCAAAATCTTTTGTGGTCAATTGACTGGTCAATTGACCGGTCAATTGACTAAGCACCGGTCAAATTCCTCAGTTTTTTTCTAAAGAAATGAAGGCATTAAATAGAAACGTGTATTTATTGAAAAACTGTTATCAAAAGATAAACGAACCATTCTGAGGTACAAAAAATAAAAATATTCTAATAATACTTATGACGGCTGGCAGTGCTGGTATGGGTAGATAACAGCAAATCATCCTCGTCACTGAACTCAGCCTTCTTCAAAATCATCGATTTCATCCTCACTACTAAAATTAAGCGCTGGTTCCTCCGAATTTCCACATTTTTTATTTTCACTTCCACTCAACAGCTTCAAGTTGTACTTTATATAAACAAGCTTTCCTGAACGAGTGGCTTTCAATCGGTTGCGAAGCTTACTATGGACAATACCCCATGCGGACCAATTTCTCTCGCAAGAGGGTGCAGAAGGTGGCATGCCCAACAGTTTCACAGCAACATCCTTTAATGAGCAATTCGGAAGCCAATTCTTCCACCACGTAACGGGCGTTACATCGGATGGAGTTTTACATACAGAGGTAACACCCTTTGATGCGGTCCAAATAATTGCTTTATCAAATACGTTTTGTTGTGTTCTGTAGTTGGTAATTTCCCCTATAACTTTGATATGGTCATCTGCTAAAGAAAGATCCACTATGAGAGCAATGGCTCGTTCAAGTTCCTCATGCTGCAAGTTTTTTCCTCTGTATCGTGGGTCCAGCAGATAGGCCGCATTATGAGTGTCAGTACAGATAATTTTAATCCGTTTTTCAAAATTGTTTATAAGGGATGTTTCTTCGGAAATCAAAAACGGACTTTCCGACATTTGGGCGGAAAATTGATCTTTCAACTTGTACACCTTGTGTCTTACGTCCGACAAAGTCGAATTGGTATTTTCCATAAATGTAATTAGTCTAACGACAGGAGAAAGTAATTTTAAGAATTTATCGTTCCGGTCCCAGAACACATCGGAAAAAATTGAAGTCTTAATTTTAGCGCCAGCAATACTCTCCACGTCACTATTTATGATCGACTCTCTAAGCGATTGTTTGTTTGCCTGAATGCTGTCCATACAAGCCACTGTACTTCCCCACCTGGTTTATACAGGCATTTTCAACGATTTGCTGTTGCCACATTGTTTTTCTTGCAAAACTGCATTTGGCACATGTTAGTTTAAAGAACTTCACTATTTCTTTACAACTTGTGACATGATCCCGAAGCGTTGTCATGGACTCCATATCCTTCATTAGAAAATTTAGCGTATGAGAAGCACATCCCATACATTGAAGACCTGGGTACCTCATCTTTAGTTTAGCCCAAGCTGCTCTCATGTTAGCCGCGTTATCTGTAACAACAGCAGTAATCTTGCTTTCTCCTATCTCTTCGATAATTTATGTCAACACAAAATGTATGTTTATAAAACAGATGGAATGGAAAAATTAAAAATTACTTTTACATCTAAACTGGGCGTTATAACTTACCTGAGAAAATGTAGCACAGCACAAACTAGTAGTAACTTTTGTTATATTATAAAGAAGCTAGGTTATGAGTAAAATTCAATTTGGTATTCCCAAGTTTACTTCATTACTAACTTTAATAAGCATTATTAAAATGGCACCATGGTCTACTACAGAACACTTTTTTAATAGTTTTGATGTTTTCCGTTAGGTAGCGCCGTCGCCGCGCGCGGTTGATTTAAAAGTTTTTGACCGATTTTGACATGGTCAAAATCTCTCCGGTCAAAATAGGTCAAAATCTCGGTCAATTGACCGCGGTCAATTGACCAGGCACAACCCTACCTATAGGTACTTATCTATAGATTCGGCCAGTACATTGATGAGAAAGAGGTAAGGGTAGTTGCTTTTATACTTAATGCATAAATAGCGATATAATAGGTAAAAACTTGCAAAAACAAAATTTACTTTCACATTTTATTACAGCCGATTTACTAAATGATTTTATAATTATTTTTTATTTTAATACAAAACTAAATTTATACTCAATTGAGTAGGTACCTTTATTAATATAAATTAATATTACTTTAAGGTAATATTCTGTTGTGCTAAGCTAAACCCCCGTATCTGCAATAATAAATAATTAAGGACAAAACATAGTTTGTATTGTTTTTAACAATGAAAATGAGCTTTTGTCCTTTAATACTTAATTTTGTATATACGGGGGTTTGGCTTAACAGGGCAGTATTAGACTCAGTTCAAATATAATAGGTATAAATATAGTATACAGTTAAAGTTGCAGTTAGTTATCTGGCAGATAATCTCCATGGATACTATTGTTCTCACAACGATCGATATGGAATTTAACAGTCAGACAGACTAACTGGAACTTAACCAGAGATTGATAAACTGGCCTTTAGTGACTTAAATTTAGAAAAGGTATTAGTAATATATTCATAAGTCATAGAGACTAATAATGTATATAGTTATTTTTTAGAATTTTTTTTTTAATTTTCTTTATAACAACCGTATTTTTTTAAATATGTTTATATAACTGTTTAATCATATGGAAAAGTAAAAAATCGTTAAAAGACTTATCTTATTACTTAATACGTTTTCTTAAATGTGTTTCTTTAAAAAACGTTTATTTAAAATTTATTGGCTAGCTATAAAAATGTAGACAACCAAGGTATCTTATCTCGAGAAATTTTTTTCACCAAGACAAATAATGGAAATGTGAAATCCTTATCAAAACGTCGACCTTTAATGTCTAGACTATCAAAGGGGTACACCAAAACTATTTAGAAAATTCTTAAATTAGTTTTTTCTTTAATTGGCATCTGCCAAACCAAATTTTTAAATATAGGTAATCAGGTCAATTTAAAATGTTTATTTAAACTTCTTTTCATCAGTACATTCCCACAGAACCCCATTATCTAACTTTAAAATTCTATCACAATCGCTAATACAAGAAACTTTATGTGCTATAGTAATTATTGTACAATCTAGAAAATGCTGGCTCAAAATATTCTTCAAAATTAATTCAGTTTTTGAATCTATATTAGCTGTGGATTCGTCCATTATTAAAATTTTGGTTTTTCTTAACATAGCTCGAGCAAGACATAGTAGTTGTTTTTCGCCACTGCTCAGTTTTAGGGTGGTTATTTCGTTGTATAATGTTGGTACTAGGTGTTTTATTTTTAATGTTTCAATTATATTCCATATTGAGTGATCTGAATGGAGTTTTAAGGGGTCCAAATTATTTCTGATGTTATCGGAGAATAATATTGGGTCTTGAGGTATGAAGCTAATATTTTTTCTTAGGTGTTCTATAGAAATTGTATTGATGTCTATATTGTCTATTTTAATTGTTCCTTCATAATTATAGAGCCTCATTAATAGAGATACCAACGATGACTTTCCAGAGCCAGTTCTTCCAATTATCCCAATTTTTTCCCCATCATTAATGAGAAAGCTAACATTATTCAATATTTTAGCTTCACCATATTTTAAACTAACATTATGAAACTCAATTGAACCCTTCCCAGGCCATGTTTCAATCACCGCACCTTTAATATCTTCCTGCGTAACACCTATATACTCTACAATCCTTTCAAAACTCGTCATTAAACTTTCAGCATCAGTAATCTGCTTTAAAGCCATCGATATTCCCTTACTCATAGAAAACATTTCAATAAAAGCAATACCTATATTACCAACTGATCCACCCGGTAATACGAACATTACCGCCCATACAATGACGTACACTATTACCAGACATGTTACGTTCATATACAGCCAGTATGCAAGGAAAGTTAACATCAGGCTGTAATAGTTTGATATGTATGTATTGTGTGATTCTTCGAAAATTTGAATTTGTTGTTTTTGGTTGTTGAGGGCTCGGATGGTTTCTATTCCATCTAGAGTGGTATTTATGTGGCCTATGAAAGGGCTTCTTGCTAAAAATTAAGTGTGATTACTTTTTATTATTTCTATTATAGAAAGCCTTAAACCAGCAAGAGCACTGCACCTAGTGTGAAGTACTTTGATTGGTTTATTGCTTTCTATATGGATCATTTTCTATGAAAAGTAAAGTTGCAGATACTGCAAATGTAAAACTTACTGGATGTTTCTAATCTTTTTAAATTCCTTGCTATGGGTAAACATACTAAGCTCATTATGACCAAAGTTATTAAGAGTAATAATATTGGAATAAATAACTTAAAATTTGCCAAACTTATAAGTATAATTGTGCCAAATAGGGACGTTCCTAACTAAAAATATATATTTTTTATGTGAAATAAACATTAAAAATGTATTTTCTTACCCGAATCACTTCTAAAAATGCAATGGGTATCATTTCATCAATATTGTTTAAATCTTGTGAAAATCTGTTTAATATATTTCCAAGTAAATTTGTATCAATGAAAGAAAGGGACGCTTTGAGCATTTTTAATGTTAATTTGGTGTTTATATTTATTGAAACGGTTTTTGTAAAATCATAGAAAAACAAAATTTTCACCAAAGTTAAAAATATAGCTAAACCAAGTAAAATTCCATAATGCATGTTAACTTTACTGGATTCCTTTAAGAGTTCATTCATCGTGACGTTTTTGGATGATGATAACTTTTTTTGTTCCAAATCAACCCTAAAAGTGTAATATTAGTATACAAAATTGTTGTATTTTCTTAATAATTACCATTTGGTTAAGGTTTTATACGCAAAAGTTTCAGAATATTGTGAAAGCCCAAATAAAATTATAATAAAAATAAACACAAAATATCCTCTACCAAATTTGATATACTTCAAGTAAGATTTAAGAGGAACAGAGCCTTGTTTTTGTGATTCTTTATATAAATCTTTATTACCACTTATTAGACAAGTTGTTTCATTAGCTTCTTCCTTTAGTGCTTCATCATTTTCCTTTATAATATAGTTTATATTTTCTATATCTTTCCTATCAAGACTGTCAGGTTTGCTATACTTTATTTGAGAGTTGTCTATTAATAACACGTTATCGGAACCTCTCATGAGATCTATATTTTGCGTCACAATCAAACAAATTTTATCTTTAAAACTTTTTAAAAGTTCTTCCACAATTTCACCCTGTACTTTGCTATCTAGAGATGCTAGACAGTCATCCAGTAGATATATGTCACTATCCCTATAGATAGCTCTAGCTAGATTCACCCGGCATTGCTGACCTTTACTTAAGTTCAAACCACCATTTATCAAAACAGTTTCATCGCCTTTAGGTAAGGTATTCAGATCGTTCAAAAGGCCACATATGTGTAAGGTTTGGTTGTATTTTTTTAGGTTGTAAGTTTCACCGAAAATTATGTTTTCTTGTATGGTCCCAGGGAACAACCAAGGTTCTTGAGAGGCATAGGATAGTCTACCTTGTGTTATTAAATGCCCTGTGTGAGGGGTTTCTCTTAGTAATGATAGAAGAAAAGTTGTCTTTCCTGAACCGTTAGCACCTTAAAAATAATGTCAATAATATGATACTATTATTGGTATTTGAAGCCTTACCTATGACACTTGTAACTCCTTTGTTAATCTTGATGGAAATATTATAAAATATGACTTTACCATTAATCCTAACATTGAAATCCCTTAGAAGAATCTTCGGATCATCAGTGAAAACATCATCTTTATCCTCAACTTCATGATCCAGTAAAATCAAGTTAATTCTTTTTATACTTCCCTTAAAGTCGGCCAGTAAACCTAAATAGGTAGGTAGTAGAAAATTGATGACATGTCTTAAGGATCTAACACATGTGAGCATGTAAAAAATTATCTCTGCATCTACCGAAACTCCCATGTAAAAATATGACATTACAAATAGGTAGATCATCATATCGGGACCTAGTGATCCTAATATGATGACGGTTGATTTGGCGTAGGCGTCTTTGATCATACTATTTACTTCAATCCTTAAATATAAATATATATGATTGTCTGGCTTGTAAAAAAGTATATGCTTACTGTCTAATTTTTGAAATTTTTTCCAGGAAGAAATTTTCCCAGGTTAACATTTTAATCACTTTTAAAGAACCTAGGACTTCCTTGGTAGCCTTTATCCTTTCACCAGTTTTATTGTCGATAAAAACCCTTATATGGGCTATGTATTTCCCAATTAATACTAAAATTGGAAATGTGATTAAAAGTATTAGTAATTTATAAAATGGTATTACAACAAAAACTTTTAAATCATTTCCTGAGCGTTAAGAGCTCTTGTTGGGACTACCTGTTTTAGTGACGTAACAACGTAATGGCCTTAATTTTAAGACCAGGCCCCCTTTAAAATTGTCTTTGTCGGAGAAAAATTGTCAATTATTTCATCAGTAATTTTTTTTTAATTTAAAACGTGGCTACAACCTCTTTCTTAACATATTTAAAATAGTATATTATGTATCAAATTTGATAAACGCCATTTTAGTCAGGAATTTAATTTAGGTACAAGCGAGCTTGCGAGCGAGTGCTTAATTAAATGAGTACCTAGAAATTACAAAGAATTAAAAATTCTTACACGGAAAAGTTAAATGTACAAAAAGTGACAGTTGTATTTCTTGGAATTCCCGTTAGAATTTCTACCGGCGCGCCGCGGTAAAATCTTAAATTTTTCTGTGTAAATCAAAATGTATCCTTTAAGAATAGACTAACAATCGGTTTAGAAGCAGTTTTTCTTCTCAGTAAAAGAGAAGAGAATGTGTTATGGGCGCTTTTCCCAAAATTGTTAACGCTTTATCAGTTAAATCTCAAAATTTATGAAGTACAAACGTTCATATAATTTTTTCAAATATTGGCGTTAAGAAACTATTTAATACTTTTGTATTTTTTTATTGAGATAATAAAAAAAATCGCATTTAGTATTATTTTACAAAAAGGCACTCTATTTTAACGATTGTATGACATTCGGAAACTGTCAACTAACTTCAGCCCGTGACTAAAAACGTGTTGCTAACTTAAGACCGTGACTAAAACGCCATAAAGCCACAACTTGTCAATGTGTATTTAAAAGGTCACTTAGTGTCATGGAAACATGTACAATAATGGACGTTTTAAAGGTGGGAGTAGAAAATAGTATATTATGTATCATGTTTGATAAACGCCATTTTATACACGAATTTAATTTAGGCACGAGCGAGCTTGCGAGCGAGTGCTTAAATTAATGAGTGTATAGAAAAGTTTATAAACGAGGTGCATACAATAGTTTTTCTACGACAAATACTTATTATTATCTTAAAATGATTAAAAAAAAATTGTATAGAGCGCCATCTATGAAACAATAGGGGAATCTGTGTGTCACCGTCAAATGTCAAATTTTATAAACGCAGATTATAAAGGTTATAAATCAAAATGTATTTCTTGAAAATTGACAGTGAAACCGTCAAACTCGCCTTCGGCTCGTGTGACAAACTTTTCACTCGAGCGGAATATGGAATTCCAAACGTGTTTCGGACTATAATTTTTCTACGTTTCCAAAAAATACCATATACAAATAATTTAATTGGAAGAAAGTGAGGTTGGATCGGTCTAAAATTTGTTAGATGTTAAAAACAGAGATGTCGCCACGAGTGTATATTCTGTCATCAGATGATAGAATATTTCATTCTGTAACACTTTACGGAATAAATGTCATTCCATAGATAAACTTGATATTAGAACGGTCATATTCCATAATAGGAGTAGAAAAAATGTTTTATGAGCACTTTACAGTGGAGTCCGTGTCCGAATTTAAGTTATAGTTTACTGCCGGCGAAATTAAAAGGTCAGTACAATGTTCATATAAACTTTTCAAATATTGGCGTTGAGAAACTATTTAATACTTTTGTATTTCTTTATTAGGATATAGGTATTAGTATTATTTTACAAGAAAGGCAATTTATTTTAACGATTGTATGACATTTGACAACTGTCAACTAACTTAAAACTAACTTTAGCCCGTGACTAAAGCGCCATAAAGCCACAACCTGTCAATGCGTATTTAAAAGGTCACTTAGTGTCATGGAAACATATTTTTATTCGTCACACATTGGAGCGAATTCCAAAATTACGTCAATTTTATGTATGTTAATAAAGGGTTTCTGTTATGCTTAAACAATTATATTCCAAAGATAAGTAGAGTAAAATAACCTTGTATCGATATTATATATTTAAAGTTTTAAAATGTTTTAGTTTTGTAAGCGTATAGAAATCAGAAATATTATAAGAGACCCAAAATTTGTTTCGCATTTAACAATAAAAACCGTATAAAGAACATCCAAATTCTATTTAATAATAACGAAACAAACTATCTTTACACAGCATAAAAATATATTGGGTTCTGTACCAAGATTTCGCAGGGATTGTCAGCGCGAAACACAAATAACGTGGGCGATTTAGCTGTGCAATTGAAACTTTGCGAACATGATTTGTCGAGTAAGACTTTTTAAAAATTAGGTGCAGTTCGTAAGCTTTAAATGTATTGACAAACCTTGTAGTTCAATGCTACCGACGCATCTTTGAGTATTTAAATATGCAATGTATTTTTAATTAACAACAATGCCTTAACAATAAAGACAAATCTTCACAATCTTCTTTCGACACTTTGGAACAACAAAACGGAAATTAACCGATAAATTAGATTCAAAATTTGTTGTTTTACTAAAATGCAGAAATTGTGAACATTTACCTATACTTTTAGAATACAGGGTGTTATGTAATTAATGCTATATATTAAAATGGGTTGTTCCTTAGGGTCCATAAAGAAGCACCTGAAACTTTTTTTTTCTAAATTCCAAGTCTAAAAATAATTTATAATAACCTTTATCCTACCAAAAAGTACGCCACTGATCGACTAGGAACTTTAGGTTAATCTGGTGGATTTATTGTGTTATGGTTGGTAACAACAGTGTTTCCAAAATCTCTCAAAAAAGTTGACAAACATTGTTTAAATTTAGCTTAATTACAAAAATGACAAAATTAACAATGCAAATTGTCAATTTGGCGTTTTTATTAATTGTTGGTTGTTTTATTTTTGTACTGAAGGTAAATTCAAACAAAATCTGCCAACTTTTATGACAGAATCTAGTGCATTTCTTTTAAATTTTAGGTTATGTTTTCAAATTGTAAATATCTTAACTAAGGGAAGTGCTTTTGGATTTATTTACACAAATTAAATGTTTAAAGTTTAACCTGTGAACTGGTCCCAATTTCATCTGAGTAAACAGAGAGAAAAAACTGATGAAAAAATTAATTTTGTGGTTATGGATTTCAAATTTCAAAGGTACTAAATTTTCTAATCATTGCTTAAGCTAATAGCTGGATCAGTAAATAAATACAGAAGGGTATTAGAGCTTTAAGGGCATAAAACTTTTGTATTTATTGAGTTTTTATTTATTTTTTGCAAGAAAAATTTTTAGTAATAATTTTTTACATCTGGCAACGCATAGCTACTTTGTTGGTTGGTATCTATGTACTCACAAAATACAGGTGTGCAGAGATAAACAAGTGTGTAACCAGTGGCGTATCACAAAAAATATAAAAAACTTCTAATGCATATTTTTTCTTTATCTTTGGAAAAATGTTTTTTTAAATATTTTTCCTTTATTCCTTATGTCAAAAGGTATTCAGTATTTTAATATAACATTAATTACATAACACCCTGTATATAGCCTTTTTAACAACTTTGTTCAATACTGGTTTATGCACCAAGATTAAATAAACATTAAAACAAAAAGTTTGTAATAATTAATTTGTAGATTTTTTAATACTGAAATTAAAAATTATAAAAAACAATTTTTTTTTAGAAATGCGATAGCTATAAACTATCGGAGTGTAAATTGACCTTAATTGTATAGTTATTGACCTTAATTGTATAGTTATCACTGTCAATGTTTTTGTTTTTAGGTCAAGTTTTCTGGAATTCTTTTTAGTTTATCATGCAGTAAGGATAAATACTATCCGTGGAAAAAAGTAAAATATCGTCGTTTTATTGGAAAGTAAAGCCCGCTGCAGGATAACGGGAATCTGAACAGTGAAGCTGGGAGAGACTAAGCAACCTAGAGGCAGGTATAACGATACGCATATCGATATAATATCGATACATATTCTGCAAACACTGAATCGATATATCCTTTGCGTATCGTTAGTTTATATCGTTAATTTAAAAATCACGAATTAAGCAAAATAGAAAATATGCGAACGGAAAAAAGTTAAACCCAAAGACGTAGATAACTTTCTCCGTCTATGGTTAAACTCTCTATGTCTATGGTAAACTCTCTATGTCTATGGTTAAACCAAACATATTCGCGAAGTAAGATACAAGACAAATAGCTACGTTCGCAAAGCGATCAGAAATTTAAACCTACAAAGAAAGAAACCGATTTTTTTTTATTCAGCTCGAGGCAATATAAAAATATCGATATTATCGATAATATTTTTTTGTATCGATACTGTATCGATACACCCCCTGTATCTTTTTACCTGTCTCTAAAGCAACCACTGTTGATCGATAGGGTTTGCTGAGTCTCTCCCACCTTTACTGTTCAGGTTCCCGTTCTTGTTACCGGGCTGTTGTGCAACGGGCTTAACCTGTGAAGAAAAAGGTCAATTTTTTTCGCAGTTGAAGACTAAACCACTTTCTCAATTGAAAACGTGCAAATTCTTTAACGTTTATTTAGATGTTAAAAATCATGTTGTTGTAGACGATGAAATGGTTAAATTTAAAAATTGCCAATGCATGGATTTCAAGGAAAATGTTTAAATTCGCCTGTTGTTTTTAATTTAAAATTGAATGAAAAAATGTAACCTTTAGTTGACTGTGGATTTCCAAAAGAATTTATTCACAAATAAATAACAAATATAAACAATACACGCAAGGTAACGGGTTTTCCTGGCTACATAAGGTCTACCGACTTGCGTCTACCATGCGATAGTAATTTTATACAGGGTGTTTGACATCCATTGTTCATTAGAAGTTTCTGGGAAACGGAAAAAAATATCGATTTAAAATTTTAAAAGCATTTAAGTCTATTTTTATAAAACATTTTGAACAACTTTGTTATTTCAAATACATACATTTTTACATTGCTAAATTCTACATAAATTCAATTTATTAAAAATTACTATACCATGTCCCATACCTAAGGTGAAAAGTTTTCGAGTTATTATTTTTTTTTCTTTAAAATTTGAGAAATGCACGTCAATCAAAAATAGCGTTTAACTTTTTTGCAATTTTGGGAATCTTAAAACATTGTTAAAAAAAGTCCTTGTCAATTCTTTAACATTTTTCAACAAATTACCTGAAAAATCCTAGGCCAAATTAGGCTAACTTGAAAAGTTAATAACTTTTTTATTTTAGATGTAACACCCGGATGTTTTTACATATTTAAATAGTAATTTAAAAAACCTTTCGATTGATGTTACTGTTCCCTATACCTAAGGTTAATAATTTCAGAGATACACTGAAAGAAATTTATGTTTCATATATGGACTACCACATACATTGCTAAAACAAACATATAATATATTTACCTTAACCATTTTTATATTTAGTTTTAACATATTATGTTAAAACTAAATATAATATATGTTTGTTTTAGCAATGTATGTGGTAGTCCATATATGAACCTCAAACATTGCTAAAACAAACATATATTTCTTTCAGTGTATTTAACAATATCTAAAATTTCAAATAATATTTTGTATCATGAATCATGTGGCGCGTGAGTTGACGGTATCCATGGACCATGGTTACCACGTAATCTGTCATTGTTCAAAATTTAATGCCGTCAATTTTTCAGGTTGTTGTAAACAATTTGTTGACTACTTAATTGTTTTATAATAGTATATTATGTGTCAAGTTTGATAAACGCCATTTTATACAAGAATTTAATTTATTAGTTAATTAATGAGTGTATAGAAAAGTTTATAAACGAGGTGCATACTATACTTTTTCTATGACAAATACTTATTATTATCTTAAAATGATTTAAATCAAAAATTTGTATAGAGCGCCATCTATGAAACAATAGGGGAATCTGTGTGTCACCGTCAAGTCACATTTTTATATTATAAAGGTTATAAATCGAAATGTATTTCTTGAAAATTGACAGTTTTTCACAGTAAAAGTAAAGAAAATGTTTTATGAGCACTTTACAGTGGAGTCCGTGTCCGAATTTAAGTTATAGTTTACTGCCGGCGAAATTAAAAGGTCAGTACAATGTTCATATAAACTTTTCAAATATTGGCGTTGAGAAACTATTTAATAATTTTGTATTTTTGTATTGAGATTATAAAATAATTTTCACATTTAGTATTATTTTACAAGAAAGGCAATTTATTTTAACGATTGTATGACATTTGACAACTGTCAACTAACTTAAAACTAACTTCAGCCCGTGACTAAAAACCTGTTGCCAACTTCAGCCCGTGACTAAAGCGCCATAAAGCCACAACTTGTCAATGTTTTTTTAAAAGGTTACTTAGTGTCATGGAAACATGTACGATAAAGGGCGTTTTAAAGTTGGGAGTAAAAAAAATATCTTTTTAATTATTAACTTATTAACGAAAAAAATTAATTACTCGAAAACTATTTACTTTAGGTATAGGACATTGTATAGTAATTTTACTCATAATTTTATGTAGGATTTAAAAATTTAAAAAGAAAGGGGGTGGTCCATTTGAAATAACAAAGTTGATGTTACTTTTGGGTGAACCGGAAGTGACATTTTGTTTAAAATAGTCTTAAATGGATTATAAACGTTTTTTTTTTCTTCAAATCGATATCTTTTCTGTAAATTATAACTGACTTCTTTTACGCCATAAGACACCAATATCGCTTGCTCAGTATACTGTTCTCATTTTGGAAAAAATTGACTTAGGTATCTAGGTTTTCCAAAAGGGTACAGATATATCGGGGCCCTTGCAAAATGCTAGCCTTGCCGATTCCCGGTCACTTTTCCGAAAGTCATTTTCCCGACAGACCAATTTCCCGACAGACCATTTTCCCGACACACCATTTTCCCGACAAGATTTTTCCCGACACCATTTTCCCGAAAGTCATTTTCCCGAAAGTCGTTTTCCCGACAAGCCATTTTCCTGACAAGCCATTTTCCCGACAAGTCATTTTTAAGACAAATAATTTTTACCACAAACGACACAATATATTTTAACAGAGTGACGTCATCTTAGGACGGGAAGCAGATCTTTTTTCCTTAACCAACGTCCCGAGTCCGCCCGCTTCGAAACCAACCCAAACCCAACAACCCAACCCAACCGACCCCGCCCCATTGGCCCTTACAGAATTCCAGAAGGAACAAGCAGATACCGAAATCATTTTTGACCAGGTATGTTTTTCTTTACTAGATAATAAAACTTTTGTCGTGAACATAATCTTTCGGGAAAAGGGCTATCGGAAAAAACGTTTCTTAACTGGATAATAAGATTTTTGTCGTGAACATAGTCTGTCGGGAAGAGTGCTGTCGGGAAAAACGTCGTCGGGAAAATGATTTGTCGGGAAAATGGTCTATCGGGAAATTGGTCAGTCGGGAAATTGCATTCGGGAAAGTGACCGGGAACCAGCCTTGCCACCCTGTTGTTACGCCACTGCCATGTGTATACTTACATTGCATTCCAAACATCAAAATCAAAAAAAGAATGCTGGACAAAGATATAATTCCCATCTTGCTGTACAATAAGCAGCAAATTATTGTAACGTGTATTATTGAAACTATAAACTCCTGGCTGGATTTTAATCCTCTTTCGAATATAGCTACATCCTTGGTCATTAAAGAAACAACGTTTCCAACATTAGCCAAAGCTTTATTTGATAATTTTAACACTTTCCTGAATATTATCGATGATAAAGCCACTCGTATTTTAATGGAGAAATCTGTAATCCATATGTTGTATTGGCCACACACTAAGTAGTAAATGATTTCAATAACAAACATGCTCAAATTGTATGATAGGGCTTGTTCTAGAGTTGTTTTAGTTTGGTTTTTCTTAAAGTACGATATGAATTTGCTCATTAATATTGGTGAATACATACTAAAAAGAAATGCTTTTGAAAATTGTGTTTTTTAATACCTACTACTAACCTTTTGATGATTTTTATTAGAAGAAATGGTGTGACAATTAATAAATAATGGTACTTATACTGACACCACAGAACTGTTAGTATGGAAGATCTACCACTTTGTCTATTTCTATTTTCTATAGCTTTTTCTAGCTCATCTCCACATTTTTTGGTTTCCAAAAATTTTGGTACTTCATAGGGAGTTTTACTATTGTTTTCTTTATTTTGGGCCTTTTTAAATATAGGAAAGACAAACCTGTTAAAAATTGGTTATAGAAAATTCAATAGGATTTTATTTAAGGTGGTTTAAAAAATTAGCTCCAAAAGAATGTTGTTACTTACACATATGTAAGGAGGGATATCCAAGATCCCTTATCCTTGGGATGAACACTTTTCACGACATTTTTAGAGCACATTTCAAATCAAAATGAGAGAATATGAAACTTGTAAAAAGTATATTTATGGCTATGTATATTTTGGAATGCGAAGTGCATATGCATAATTTATTGGAACTAGTTAATTACCTAGAATTTATTCTTGTATTTATGCTATGCCAGATATAGGCAATTATTTGTGCCTTAGAATAAATAAAATTTACCTAGAAGTGTTGTTTGTTTATTGCATTTGGGTTTTGTATTTTTTCCATTCCCACCTTTAAAACGCCCATTATCGCACATGCTTCCATGACACTAAGGAACCTTTTAAATACACATTGACAAGTTATGGCTTTATGGCGTTTTAGTCATGGGCTGAAGTTAGTTTTAAATTAGTTGTCAGTTGTCAAATGTCATACAATCGTTTAAATAAAGTGCCCTTATCGTAAAATAATATTGAAAAGTTTATATAAACATTGTACTGACCCTTTAATTTTGCCGGCAGTAAACTAAATTTAACTTAATTTCGGGTGGAGATTCCACCGAGGAGTACCCATAAAACATTTTCTTTACTTTCACTGTGGAAAACTGTTGTTAGACCATTTTCAAGGAGTACATTTCGATTTACACATAAAAATTTAATATTTTTACCGGCATGTCGATAATACAGATTCCCAAGAATGGTTACTCTATTGCTCTGTACAAATATTTAATTTAAATAATTTTTAAATAATAATAAGTATTTGTACACAGTTAAAAATTTATAAAATTTGTGTTAAAAATAATGCGTGTTAAATAAAAAATGTAAAAAATTACATAAACTTCCTGTTTATAACATAAATGATATATGTTACTTGATACAAACATTATAATAATTAAAACCTTAAATTTCGAAAGATTTAACAAACATTAATGTGTTAAAAGGTCCTACACAAATAAGAATTTTAAATAATTATTTTTTCTACTACCTTACTAGAAAACTTATTTTTCCACCCCCGAACGAGGGAGGAAAATGCCTCTTTTCCTCCCCGGGAGGAAAAAAAATTTCCTCCCTCTTTTTTTTAAATTTTACATTGGCAAGAGTTTTTGTACCTTGTCTAGCCTTATTTGATTTTGTAGAAAAAAGATTTACTCCGCGCTTGTCCAACCATTCTTTTAACATTCTTTTAACAAACTATATTCATATTCACTACCCAGGAAACACAAGGTAATCTAATAGATGTCTAAATCTGGTATAAGTAATCTAAATAACATCTAGATATACAAATGGATCTGATTTCGATCGTATTTTATGAAATAGTTTTTAGATGATTTTCCAAAGACATCTAAAATATGTATAATACACTTTAAACTTAAGTAGAAGCTTATGTTCGACGTGTATTAGACATTGAGAATGATAGGTCTCTTAAATGTTAAGGATTTTCACTAGTTTTTTACATGTATTGCCAAATCATTTATAGATGCCACTTAATGATACATCTAAAAGATATAAAACTTGTAAAGGCTAATATAATGGTATTTGGTTAATTATTATTTTTGACATCTGTAGCATACCTTAGAAAAACAATCTAGGGACGACAAGAACATATAGTAAAAAATAAGGCAGTTGCTTATTTTAAACTTCGTTTTATATTTGTTGTCATTTAGAATATGTGCCGGTCAAACGATACAAAAAAAAGATGACAACTATATTTATCTGTCTTGGTACTGCTATTTTAAAACAAAATAGCAACAAAAGAAAAACAAAGAAGTTAACTAGGGCATTAACGGGTTAAAGTTTATTTTCTTCTTTTTACAGCATTTAATAAAAGATTTTCTTTAAAAATGTTTTTTACCATTTATTTTTTATTTTTTGCTGGACATGTTTCATTTAATGCGCATAAATACAACCTACTGCGCATATATAAAATAATCCAGGAACTACTGCGCATAGATTTAAACTACTGAGCATAGATACAACCATCTGGGAGGAAATGGTTCAAAATTTAGTTTTAAGATTTGACATTTAACATACAAACAAACAAATATTGCAAGTAAAATAAAAGCTTGTACAAAAATCCAACGGTAAAATATTTTCTTAACATACTCATCTCGATACTCATATTTTGAAGTTATTTTAATATTATAAAGTAAAAATAAATATTAAATTTAATAAAATGAATAACGGGTAATATTAAATTAAAAATCAAAAATGTTTGCTGGGAACGATCGAATTCCCCATTAAACATTTTTAACGCATTTGTCACCATTAACATTGCTCGTAATTCATTTTATTAAAGATAACATTTATTTTTACTTTACTATAATTGCAAAATTTTATTAAAAAGGATTAAAAATATTAAAAATTCTTAAAGAAACAAAAAGTTAAGGTTATGTTTACTTTAGCGCTACTTTGCCTGCGCGCGCACGGTCGATCTCATTCCTTTGTTCACTGTGGCTTCGCGTGCTTACTTTTGAGTTCGCTGCAATGTAAATGTCAGTTTTAGTTGGTGAATTTGATACATTTTTATATTTGATGGTGATAAATTTTGTCTTTTTGTGCTGTGCATATGTCCACAACATTTTAGGTAAGTTTACATTTATAATTATTAACATTTTATTGAATTTGGATGACGGATCTATAATTGATCTAGGTATAATAGATGGAGCAGATATTTACCTTTTGCCAATAAATAAACTATAATAACGTATGATTCATACGGTTTTCTAATAAAAATCCATCTCCCTAGGTTTTGCGTTAGAAATAAAGATATTTTTTCAATGTATTGAAAATTCACCTATTTAATTAAGTTAGTATTAATACCTATATTGCTCTATAACTGATCCCTAATAGATCCGTAATAGATGATTGTTTTATTAATGTCCGCACAATTTTTTTTTACATAGGTAATGGGGCTAAATTAATATTAATATAATTTTCTACTGAATTTTAGTATTTTTATTCTCAATCTTTTTGTTGTCTGCTGTTAAAAATTAACAATTTATTATTATTATTAAGAAAAGAAAAGTGATTACTCTATAATTGATCCATAGTAGATCCGAAGTAAATAATTAAGTTTTTTAATAGATCAAGGGCAATTTTCCAATAATAACATGATTCCATATGTTGTACTACAGAGACGAAGTATATTGAAAACTTATAATAATAAGGGCCTTTCCTGTTTATGTCAAAAAAAACACATTTTTTAATTGATCCTTCTAATAGATCATTTTAACACATGAAATAGATGCCTCCATTCGAGTAGACATCAGGATCAAAATACGGTCAAATTGGAATACATACTTCGATATCTTTTAGACAACAAGGTGAAGCAATTGACAAGGCCTATTGGTTTGCCAACATTCCCAATTCAACAAAGATCGGATTTCAAGCAATTTGAGGAACTAATGCATCCTAGCAAATTTGCGTATGTGGTAAGCCGCTTTCTTATTTATTTTAATTACCTTATATAAATGACGATGATATAATTAACACACTTGTAAGTACGTTTATCAACAGAAAAACAGATTAGCTGCTATTGAAGGTACCAACCTGAGATCAGCTACCTTGAATGGATTAAAATATTTGCTTGCCAATAAAGTTGCCAAGAGATTTAACTAAGCGCGAAATAATGGAAAGAGGGCCTTTAAATCTACGAAAACGTCAGAAGTTCTTGGGGGTATGAAATTCACAATTGTCTGTAACATATATGTAACCTTGTTCCTTTCAGATGCTGTGTTTCTACATTTTATCAACAACGGTATAAACGCGTCAGCTGAATTAACGGATAACACCATAATAAAAGCTACTCATGACTGGTTACGCCTGGTAACCTAGTGTTATAATTATAATAAAAATAAAAATAATTAATAATATATATTTAAAGTAACTTATATTTAAAAGAAACCAAAGGGATACCAAAAATAGAACATAATTTTTGTTTTTGTTAAATACATAGAATGTATAGAACTTATTTTTGCTACTTTATTTTGTTATTTTTTTTAAGGATTTTTGTTATTTAATATAAAACTATTTGGCTTTTATTGAAAATAAAATATGAAGAAAGAAATTCATTAAAAGACTTTTCATATTTGTAGAATTTCTTACAAGAATTCTTGCATAAGCAATGTACCCCGCACTCCTCTATGTTTTTAGGAGATGACTATATTTAGGTTAAGCGCTTTTTTCTTAGACGAGTATTTCTGTTATCCTATAGGAAGTCTATATTATAATATAGACGTCGTATTATTTTTTTAGGAAATGTTTACATTCAGAATATAGATTGAGCACGACAGAGGTCTAACTTTGATCTAAATAATTGTTACTTTAGATGACTGTATAAGTATACTTATATTATAATAATAATAATAATATACTATAATAGTAATCTAAAGAAACAATTATTTAGATTAAATTCAGACCTCTGTCGTGCTTAATCTATATCCTGAATGTAAACATTTCCTAAAAACATAAATAAGACGTCTATATTAGGATTACAGATATACTGGCCTAAGAAAAAAAGCATTTAGCCTAAATATGGTCATCTCCTAAAAACATAGATAAAACATACATATATATTCATCTAAAAAAAGTAAGCATTTAGATTAAATTTAGACCTCGGCTCATTTTAAACTGAAGACGTCCATAATAGGACTACATATATACTCATCTAAAACAAAAAGGATTTAGATGAATTTTAGATCTCTGCTCTGCTTAATCTAGTCTGAATATAGATATTTCCTAAATACATAGATAAGAGGTCCATATTAAAACTATATATGTATATATCATCTAAAGCAATACTTATATAAGATCAAATTTAGACCTATGCTCTTATAATGATATAATGACGTACCTAATATATACGTCTATCTCGAGGACATTTCCATGCCGATCTGCAATCTGAACAATACCATCTATAGATATCTGACGAAGACGTCTAATAATCATCTTTAAGATGAAACTGTGTTGCTTGGGTATTTTAGATTTTTAAGGAAGGAAATTAATTGCAACTATTAAATTTATGATAAACATTATGACAGCTTATAAAACTGTTATGTTGGTATTACCAAAAATACCATAGCAACAAAGCGTTGTCAACATAACGTCGGCGACGCAAAACCTTCTTAATATTTTGTCATAATTTT